GACCAGTGGTATTTCCACTCAGGACGAAAATATTCTGTGCTATAGATACAGCTATTGTCTTAGTTGATTTGCTTTTTTTTTTTTAATTTTTTTTTTTCAATTTAAACTTTTCCTCCAGAAAGATGTTTTGAGAAAGGACAGAAGGACTTAGTCAGACCTTCCTAAACCCATTTGTCAAGTGGATTACATTTGTGCCTCTCTTAAAAAGATGCTTTACAATGTATGAGAGAGAGTTTTGGTAAATTAATATCATCATTACAAATAAGCTAGCCTCCTTGTATACCTCCTTTAGCTTCTTGTTGTGCAAGGCAGCCGCACTGGGCCCCACAGACAGCAGTTTTGGCCTGGCCCTGGGGCCCAGGGGAATATTAACTTACAAGGCTATCGCTCTCTTGCTTTTACATGTCTGAAACTATTTCAAAACTTAGTGACTGAAATACAAGTTATTAAATACACTTTATTAGAATATAAAAAGTTCTTTTGTCCCCCTTCTCCTCTTTGGAGAAAAGCTGGTTGTAAGACTCTGGGCATGTCTCTTCTGAATATCTTCATGGACACATAGCCCAAGATCATAAAAAGAATTAACTAGACATGAAGCTGAGTTAATCTACGGTTAGAGCCTCCATGCAACTTAAAGGCTGCCCTTGGATTTTTATTTTTTTTTAATTTTTATTATTTTAATTTTAATTTTTAAAAAGATTTTATTTATTTATTTGAGAGAGAGAGAGAACATGAGTGGGGTGAGGGGCAGAGAGAGAAGCAGACTCCCTGCTGAGCAGGGAGCCCAATGTGGGGCTCAATCCTGGGACTCTGGGATCATGACTGAGCTGAAGACAGATGCTAAACTAACTAGCCACCCAGGCAACCTTGCCCTAGGATTTTTAAAAACCATTTTGTTTTAGGGACACCTGGGTTGTTCACTCAGTTAAGCTTCAGGATCTTGGTTTCAGCTCAGATAATGATCTCAGGGTCATGAGATGGAGCCCCACAATGGGCTCCACAACCTGGGTCGGGCTCCACGTCCCAGGTGGGGCTCCATGCTCAGTGCAGTGTCTGCATCAGAGTCTGTCATTCCTTCTCTCTCTGCCCCTAACCCCCAACCCTCGAAAATAAATAAATACATCTTTAAAAACAAACAAACAAACAAACAAACCACTTTTATGAGTTCTAGTTGAGCAGAGATACCAGGTAGGAGCTGAAGTAGGAAAGACCGATTTTTTGGTTTCTGATTGTCAGAGCCTCCTGGCAGAGATATCCCGTCCCCTTCTTTCTGCCTGGTCTCTATCCCCAGGAATCTGGTGCCAGATAGAACAGGAGGCTTATTTCCTGAAGCCTCTTGGAGGGTGTGAATTGTTAGCCCCTTCTGTGCCTGCCCAAGTGTGGCTCAGTGCAGACAGGCCCTTTCCTCTGTGTATTCCCCTCCCTGGGCACCGGGCAGACCCTGCCAGGGCGGAGCCACCGGAGGCTGGGAAGTGTCTGTGGGTCTCCAGCAGCTGGAAAAGGTTTGAGTCTCTTTGGCAGATGTTTGCTGTTCCAGCCACTTCATTAATGTTGGAAACTAAACCCCTGACTATTCCTGACCAAAGCCCCCCTTTGTGATTGACAGCCAGGGTGTGCGTCCTCCCACAGAAGCCCTTCACAGTCTGAGAGAAGGAGAGAGGGAGTGAAAAGAGAGAGATGGGAGCAAAATGGGAATTGGGCTAGATGCCATTGCTAAAAACCCAAAAATATCGAGGAAAGAGAGTGGCAGAGACACGAGTGAGGAGAAAGACAAATTCAGTACAACAAATTAAGATTTGAAGTCCTATCATGGGCTTGGGTCTTTCACACACATTGTGTAACGATCCCAGCTTTCACACATTCATTTCTTTTTGAAAGATTTTATGTATTGATTGATTGATTGATTTTAGAGGTGGGGAGGGGCAGAGGGAGCTGGAGAGAGAGTCTCAGGTGGACAGGTTGCTGAGGGTGGTGCCCCACCTGGGGCTTGATCTCACCCCTGAGATCATGATCTGAGCGGAAACCAAGAGCCCAAAGCTTAGTGGACTGTGCCACCCAGGTTCCCTTCATACATTCATTTATTTATGACACACTTACTGAAAACCTACTCTGTGCCAGGTTCTATGCTGGAGAACACACCAGGAGTTCCTTGCCCAGGGCGTGAAATAAACACGTCCGGGTAGGAATCAACAGCCTTGGGGAGTGGGGAAAGATTCCTCAGTGGAGGTGACATATGAGATGGGTCCTGAACTAGCTTTTCAGGCAGTGAAGGAGGGAGGGACTGAGCTGTGGAGGGCATTCCCACCAGGGGAGCAGCTTGTGTAAAGGCATGGATTATGAAGGGCCCACCTTGTGAAGTAGGTAGGTATTACGACTTCCACTTATAAATGAAAATACTGAGGCTCAACTTTGATTATAAGCGGCAGAGAGCCGGAATCTCTCTCTCCCCTACACCTGGGACGTGAGGTCTTGCCTCCATGGCAGAAAATCGAGAAGGTGGAAAATCCAAGGACTTGAATCGAAATTCTTAAGCTATTTGAAACACTGCAGATTTCAAATCAAAGAACAGTCTGAGGAAGAGTGTGAGCACATTCTGTGTCTGTGGGCAAGAGCCCGAGCCGGGAGCAGAGGCGAGGCCGATTCCCGCCCGGCATGGTGACCGGGGCTCTCGGCGCTGACCCCGCCGCCGCGAGCTGCCGGCAGCCTCTCGTGTGGCGGCGCCGCGACGCGGGGACCCGGGAGCGCGGCTGCAGATCCGCGTTTGGAGAGAGCGAAGGAAGAGAGGAAGAGGAGAAGGGGCAAGGGAGGGAAGAGAAGGGCAGAAAAAAAAAAGAGAGAGAGAGAGAGAAACCAGGATGGAAGATGGGTGAAGAGAAGGGAGGGCGGAAGAGAAAAGAGAAGGGGGACGTCCCACAGGGGAGGGGAGGCCCAAGTGCAGGTAAGAAAGGGGGAAAGGGAGGAATGGGAGGCAGAGGGGGAAGGAGTCAAGGCAGTTAAAGAACAGAGAGGGTGAGACGGGGCGGGGCGGGGTGGGGGAGATGGAATAAGTCTGGAAAGGGAGAAAAGGGGTTGCGGGGTGGCAGGGGGGCGGGGGCAGGCGCAGAAGAGTAACTCGGAGTCAGCGCCCGGCAGGACCGGACAAACAGTCCACATGGTTAACGCTCAGTCCCTCGCCAGGGTCGCCAGGTGTAAAGGAAAGGCTGTCGCTCAGGTGCCGCGCCCCAAGCACACTTCGAGGTCCGCGCTGCCGGTGGGGTCGCCCCCACCAAACACCGTTTCTCGGCGCCTGTCAACAACTCTACGCTTGCCAGGGGCAAAATATAACCACCCGCCCCCATTGTCCTCGGAGGGAGCATCGCGCCCTTGGGACCATCCCCAGCTCGTGGCGCCGCTGGTCCCCGCTGCTCCCGCGCCCTGGAAAACCCCTTGGGGAATAGCGCACAGACGGCGGGGAATGCTGGTCACCAGAGCCCGGGGCGCTCCCGGGTTCATCGCGGCGACCTCGCTTCCCCACGGCGGGACGCCCGCCGCCGCCGGGACACCTAGCGGCAGTCTTTGCGGGCGTCCGAGCCGCCTACGCGTGGAGGGGAATGAACCGAAACAATTCTAAACTGAGAGGAGGGTAGGAGTAGGGAACCTCGGCACACGTGAACACATCGAGAATGAAGAGCCTCAAATTCGCATTGCGATCCGTGTCTAATACTAGACTCTAATTTGGCTGATCGCTATTTTCTCTAAGTGCCTACTTATTAGTCCTCCAGGTGTGTCCCTTCCGTCCGACTTGAACCACCCACCCAGGGGCGCGCGTCCGCTTTCTACAGCGGCGACTCGGGCTCCTGGGTGAGCAGCTCTGCCGCGAGCCCGCTGCGACTCCGGGCCGCTTCCAGGTTTCCCGCGAGATGTCACCAGCCCCAAACTCGGTTTCGGAGAAGGCCATGCGTCTATAGTTCTGTCTCCCTCTTGTGCGTTTTCCTTCTGGCCGGGCACACACCAGTTCGGAGACAAAATCGTGGGAAAGCGGTGCCACCGGGCGGTTGTGGCCGACCTCCGGGCGGGGTGGCAGGACGCAGGCATCGGGAGTCGTCCCGGGCGCCTAGACTGGTTGGGGGGTCGCCCTCGCCCACCAATTCCAAACACATAAGTTCGTACAGATACTGATTGGAACAGACTCGGAGGTTAGGACCCCAAGGGGAGGGAGGAAGGCCACCCAATAATGGCGTGTCTTCGGGGGCTCCCCGAACCTTAAGCGCTGTGAGCGACCCGGGAACGAAAGCTGCGCTGCCCCGAGCATCGGGCGACCAGAATCCTCGAGTGGGGCTGACCGCCGGAGGGCCCGCGAGCAACCCGGATCGCGCTGCGTTGGCCCTTGCGGCGGCGAAAACAGTTCATAAACGTTAAAACATAAAAAAGATCGCATGCTTTTGGAGGATTACCCTCCCATTTTTACAATTTATTATTGGGATAACGGTCAGGGAAAGGGTCATTTATGGTTTGGGATCTCGTGGGGGCGGTGAAGTGTGCGGTTCAGCTTGGGCCGAGAGCGTAGAACTGCAGAGGAGGCCGCGGGTCCTTGGGAAACCGAGAAGAACGACCCACGGGTCCTTGGGGCGTCAGCTCTGTGGCCCGCAGCAAGGACTCGACTTCTTACTAGCAAGAGACCTAGACGCGCCTGCTCCCCCGGTTGCGGGTTGCGCGCACCGGACCCAGTCCAGGAGGTGCGCGGGGTCGGATCGCGGAGGAGCGGCCCAGGCCCGGCCCGCGGGCGGGGGCGGCGCGCGCTCCGCGCACCGCGCACCGCGCGCACACCCGAGCGCGCACACCCTGCACACACACCTGGAGCTCGTCCCAGGAGGGGGGCGGGGAGGAGAGCCAAAGCGAGTGTCTTAAAATAGAGAGGCTGGCAGAGGAGCGCGAGACACCGCGAGGCGGGAGGAGGCGAGCGAGAGAGGCGGGCACGAGGCGTGCAGGTCCGCGGCCGACTTGCACGGGCGGGCTGGGCGGGGTGGGCGCCGACGCCCCTCGGCGCGGCTCGGCACCGGGCCCCGCAGGAAGCGCGCGCTGATTGACAGCTGCGCTGTCCCAAAAAGGCTCCGCGAAGATGCTGCTTCGCGGGTGGGTCTAGACGCGCGGCCGGCGCGCCCGGTGCCCGCTCCCCTCTGCGCGCCTCCCGAGCCCGCCGTCTCCCCGGCGGCCGAGGAGCGGGGCCCAGGCTCCCGCCCGCGCGCCAGTTCCTGCGGCCCTGGCCGGCAGGCGCTCTCCCCGGCTCACCATGCATTGCCACGCGGAGCTGCGGCTGAGCTCGCCCGGCCAGCTCAAAGCAGCCAGGCGGCGCTACAAGACTTTCATGATTGACGAGATCCTTTCCAAGGAGACCTGCGATTACTTTGAGAAACTTTCCCTCTACTCCGTGTGCCCGTCGCTGATCGTGCGACCCAAGCCCCTGCATTCCTGTACCGGTAAGACGCCCTGCCGGTGGTGGGGGCATTAGTCGGGTGCGGTGGCTCTCCCGCGGGCGTCAGGCGCCTTCCCGCCTCCGTCCTCCCACCGGAGGGCGAGGGGATTCCGTGCCGGAGGGACTAGACTTGTCCGCGGCGGGCATCGCAGAGTAGATCGTCGGCGACCTGGGACGGGCCAGGCAAGGTGTCGATCGCAAGGCTGGCCGGAGAGCGGAGGCGGCGGGCCCAGAGCAGCGGCCGCTCGCGCCACGCCGGCGATCCTGCTCTGGGGAGAAAGCTTCCTCCTCCCCGGCGCCGCTGTGGTTTTCGGTCAGAAAGTTCAAACCCTTGACCCGGTTCAGCGCCTAAATACTCTTTTCGGGAAGTGGTGGTGTTGCTGCTCGCCTTGAGTTCAGTTGTCCAGCCTCCTCCTGTCTCCACTGGGGATTTTACAAGTAAATCAGTGTCCTGAGGTTCTTAACCAAACCCTGAAATTGAACTTCACTTACAAGGCTCTCCCTCTGGGGCAGTAGTTCTGCCTGCAGTGCAAGCTGGGGAGATCACCCCCTTTTGGTTTTAAGGGACTGAAAAAAACAACAGTTATAACAATATAACAATAAAAACAATCTTCACGTCTGGTTTCCTCTACCACAAGAGCCTAACCAAGACCTCTAGGAAAGATAAAGAACATTTTATAAATACTTTGAAAAAGTCGTAGGTTTATGTGGAAAGTAAATCCAAAGGTCTTTTGAAAACTTTGAGTGCATTAAGAGAATATCCAAATTTCAAAGTGCCCTGGCTTTATAAGGATTTAGGCTATGGAAAAGCAGATATAGAAAAAAAAGAGAGAAGTTCAAGCAATTTTTTTTATCAAAAATAGTGACTGTGCTTTCATCTAAAGGTAAAAATTTAGTATTTCCCAACTAAAAGAAACTTTGAGGTTATGTTTGTTGCATGGATGCCCTGAAAGAAAAAAAATTGTTACTTCCACTGAAAAAGTAAAGTGAAGAGCTAGCAGTGTTTTTAAAAGATTTTTTTTTTAAACATCTAGGCCAGAAGCTTCTAGAAGATTCTAATGCTTAGAATCCTGTATTTTCTTTTGATTTAATAGGTTGTCCCTGTAGGACCATCAGTTAATCATGTATGTAAATACTTACAGCAAAGTTCTTTGAAAACCAAGTTGTTTCCACATGTATTTGGTTATGAAATGATTACAATATTAAGGTATGCCTTTGTAAAATAAATTTTATCTGTAAGGTAGAATTGGGCCTGATAGCCCATAACAGGACTTGTAATATTAAATTTTAAGGACCAAGAAGTATATGAGAGAAGAAACAAATAAGAAACTTTGGAAATAAGGTAGATATTCTTGATGTTTATATTTTTACATTTATGTGCTTGCCATGCATATATATACCCTTGAATGAGTAGTCTACCTGTATATTAGATAGGGGAGGTAGGCTGAGTCTTGTGTTGAGCATAAATCATCACTTGTTATAATAAGTCAAACCTCCTTGAGGGGAAAAAAAAAAAAAAGATTAAATCACAAATTTCAGTACACCCTGCTACAAATTGCATTTCTGCAGGACCTAAGGAGGAAACAGAACAATTCTGAATATTTGAGGTTAGTTCAGGGCTGGCACAGTTTTTAATGACTTTGTCTTCTGCATTGACCCGAAGGCAGATTTTCCTGGCTTTCAGCAGTCACGGAATGGGATCATAGTAAAAACGTGCTTTAAAAAAAAAAAAGTAATAAATAGTCTCAGAAAACAGTGATCCAGTCATCAATAGGGGCTAAGTTCTGTGTTTCACTGAGCCTCGTATGGAAATAAGTCAGAGGAAAATAAGATGATTCATAGGTAGTTTTGAGAATGTTAAGGGTGAATTGCCCATGTTATCATGAACTAAAAGTTTTGCTTGGTCTTAGGCTTTTAAGTTCATTGATGGTTTGTGTGAAAGGTGGTTGTTGCTAATGGTTTTCTTGCCCTGTCATTCCAGTGTTTACTTCCTTTAGATGGTTCTTAAGAAAAACGTTGTGATTTTGTGCTCATTGAAATTTAAAATACAGAAAGTGGGATTTGCCAGTGGAATTAAACCCATAAAAACTGGCTACAATAGTCCATACTTTCAGGTCATAAGCCTTTAGTGGGTTTACAATTACAGTTAAAGCCTTACATGTATTAGATCATGGGAATCCCATTAGTGACTTCTCAAGGGTTTTGCAAATACCATGCTTTCAAAGCATTTTTGTTGTTTTTAACAGTTAAGATCAAAATGTTCAGAATCAAAAATCTTAGACTGGATAAATTTAATCTTTTTTATTAATTAAAAATGGCATTAAGTTAGTGGCTTTCTACATTCAATACAACTATATATGTATCTACATACATATGTATATATGTATATATATGTGTATTTTTTTTTCTGGATAGAGATAAATATTTAGCACTTTTGGTAGAACCGATATGTAAAAAGTTCAAATCCAGTGGAAGGCATACAATGGAGTTGAAATTACTGAACTTGTCCTCATCCATTGATTTGCTGTTTTTAAGATTTAAATAACTACCAATAGTGAACTTTGCCAGGTAAAATAATGAAATAAGATTAAAAAAATATTATCACCCTGCACAATAAGCATATAAAATTGGGGTGGAAAAAAAAAAGCTACAGCATTTAAGAAGCCTCTACATAATTAAGCAGTCCACATTGTTTAGATTTAGTAATCCAAATGCCAATTTATGGTACTGAAACTCCTCAGGCAGAAGAGCATGTCTTCAAGTAAATTGAGAAATGGAAACATTTTTCATTAGGCAGATCATTACCTGAAAGCAGTTTATTATTAGGCTAACCTTGATGGAATGCTCACCTCCAAAAAAAAAAAAAAATTGTTTATTTAAACAGGCCCTTTCTTATTACAAATACAGTAATTTTAGGCTTAGAAGGCTGTCTCTAAATTTATTTAAGTTTCCCAAGAGATGTTCTACATCACGAACTAGACAGTGAGAAAGGGGGTCCTGTCCTTTGAAGGCGAACTAAAGGAGCATTTGTCATTAGATTTAAAATAAAATTTACAAAATGGAGAGCCTCCATTTGAAAGAAAAGTTTGTTGCTCGGACCCCTGATGAGGTGTGAAATATGTTTGGGATTTATTTAGTATATAATACGTTGGTTTTATTTTAAAATGTGGTAACAGACATCCCCATTTGGAATGGAAATATATTGCCATTTAGCAATCGGTTAACAATCTCTCAGAAACATTAGAACTTTGACAGTGAGTAAAAGCTAAAAATGAGGTGTCTTTTAGGCTGTCATAAATACTGCTGAACTCTTGAGTGCATAATTTCATTTTTCTGGTCGTGATTACTGTTTCTTGGTGGAAGAGTTGCTGGAAGAAATCTGGCTTCTCGGGGTGGAGTACAGGGCAGAGATGCCGGCGGGTCATTTTTGAAGGCTCTGTCTTTCAGTTTGATATTTAGAGACAGGCAGAGGGTGGAAAAGATGAATGGCCTGCTTCACGAAAACAAAGACATAACAATTTATCCTACGAGTTTTCTTGAGGATACTGAGAAGCAAGCCTGCTGTGCTAATTACTTACAATTCTATGATATTTAAACTTAGAACCTAGAATCACCCTAGACTTGCCCATGTGCGTTTTGCAGGGGAAGGTGAATGTAGATATTTGGACACTGTGCTGCCTGGGACCGGCACATGGCTTTTCATTAACCCACTGAAACCTACAGATGAATTTCTTTCTCCTTCCCTGGGGGAATGGTTCTGTTCACTGGCTGGCCTTGTAGAACCAACTGTGAGGTACGGAGCTGGAAGGGGTCACAGAGATCACAGACCAATCTCCCGGAACACAGTATCCTTTTTTTTGTGAAGCACTAGGGTCGCATCAGTGCTTAGACACCATTTTAGTCCACGCTCTGCACAGCCGTCCTTGTTAGGGTACTCAGAAATCAGGAAGACTTTTTCAACCTGGTCACATACCCGGGATAAGTCTGGGCACTCGCACCCAAGGGACAGTCAACCAGCCAATTGAGAGGGGCACTTGGGGAAGGGTGTTTATCTGAAGAGGTGGCATTGAGAACATTTTATGCTTTGGTGCATCCAAGAGAAACAAATTCTTTGGGGTGGTGTCTTTGGGTTCATTTTATCACAAAGATTGGGTGTCATCCCAGTGAAAAATGAAATGAGGTGGGGACACGTGTAATGACTTCTTGGGAGTTAGGCAGCCAGCCATTGCTTCATGGGGTTGGCTCCCGGGACTCCCCAAATCTCAGTGTGGTCTTTCAGTCTGAGACTAAAACCCTCAGGGTTTTAGTCTCAGGGTTGGGGATTGGAATGTAATTCCATTGGAATGGAAAAAGGTAGACTGGGGTTTGGGAGGGTGACCATTATCAACAGGCATGTGTATTTCTGCCAGAGGCAGATGGGCATTTATTAGTGATTATTTGTAACTGCTCCTCCTGTTCCCAATCTCAAGGTAAACAAATCGAGATATGCAGAGGCTATAGGACTCATCCAGAGTCAGAGTGGATCTGGAGCTGAGCTCTTTGGGCCTCCTCAGTTGTTGTCTCGTTTACTCCTTCAATTTTATAACTCCTTTGTGAAACAGAGGCTGAGGGGCTCCCCAGGGAGTCTGTTTTAACTGGTGAATATAGTTTCTCAGCGGTTTCTTCTTTGGTTCTGATTTCCCTAATAACAAAGGGGAAAATGATTAGAAATTTAGTCCACAGGTTAAAATGCCTCTCCAAATGTCTGCAGTCTTTAGTATCATTGAATTCAGCAATTTCATTCAACACATCTTCATTCTTGCTTGGTGATGGCACTGTTAACGAGTTCATTACGTTCCCGTTTATTCTAAATCTTGACTCACAGTTGGGATACTTTACAGATTCCTCTAAACTATCCGTAGAACCACTGCCAAACCCTTCTTTGTCGTTCTCTGGAACATACTGGGCAGTTTGGCACTGGGACCGGGGAGCATTGTGACAAATACTTTTGCTCACCAGATAGCT